AAAAAAAAAAGTGTGACTTATCGGGAATCAATCGGTGTTACATCAGATGGAAGCGCAGATGTTTGGAATGCGTTGTTATTTTCCGCTTATCTACGACTGAGAATAAATCGTGATGCTTGGCGATAGTTTCATTGTCGACGGGGTAATACGTAAGTACCAAGCTATTTTATAAATCTTAAACAAGTAGATTAAGTAAATTAATGTTTATGCACAGCTCTATTGTAATGTATTATTCAGGACATTTATACATTAAATCCTCTCCAAAAATAACATCTATTATTTACTAAGATGTACATTTTAAATTTGTCTACATATTCTCAACAATATTTCTTGAAAATTTTCTTATAGAGGCTCAATAAATATTTATTGAATTATTATAAAAATTTCTTATAGAGGCAGGGATAAATACCTGTTTGCTGTAAAATTTTAGCTGCGTAGAACAGAACTATAGTAGTGGTGCAGAACATTGCTTCGACTAACATGAATGCTTTAAAGGTTTGGTTTATTTGGCCATAGAAAAGGACTAGACGGCTAGCTGCCTAAAGAGAGGAATGCCTTCATGGAGGTTTTTCTAAGGGAAACTGGCTCGTATGCATGTTACACATGGAGAAAACAGCGAAAACGCCATGACCTAAAACTTAAAAGATTCGTAATAATTTTTAATAATTGGAATAAAATGTTTAACAATAAGGTATAAGACAGATGTTGAGACTCGTAAAATCTACGGCAGTAGGTCTATATTTTTTATAATAACGATCATCAAACACTTTTGGCAAATTATTTATACGCCGAATTGTGCCCATAAACGTTCACTGTGCGCAAAAAGTAAAAACTCAAACAAGTTCGTGAGTGCATTGAGTTTCACCGCCCGCATGAAACTTAGAAAGGAGTTTATACACGAAGCTTCTTATTTTAAAACACAAAACGATTAAAAAATAGCTGCTAAAACACTATGAATAGGCTGTTCAAAATATTTAAAAATGATAGTTGGCGAAGTAAGCGCTATTCTGCGATTTTCCTGAATTTCAAATATTACTTCAAGTTTTCATCAAGCAAGATTTTACAACAATAAACGAATACATAAGTGGGAAAACCTTTGATTTGCATTATCTACGCATTTCTAAGTTTATAATTGATTATATTTATTACTTTTGGTTACAAAAATACTTGCTTTCAATCATATTGGCACTAGTTTATAGAAGAAGACATAAATGCTTTTCATCAGAATGAAATATTTCAGAGGAATGTAAATCTTACCAGACAAAACAAGAAACAGTACTGTCTGCAGAAACATCCCTGGAATCGAACTTGGAACAGACCACCTCTTCTTCTGCCCCGCCATCCTGTCTGCAGTGAAGCAAATTAGTAATTGCTCAGCCGCCCAACTGGTATAGTGGTTAGCGTCGCTGAATGCAGTACCGAAGGGAATGCAGTATGTCGCTGAATGCAGTATGTTTGTAAATGTATAGTGTCCGTGCGGCAGGGGGCACTCTAATTATGCGGCGAGCCGAAAGTCCTCTCGAGAGCTTGGTGGTAGAGGAAGAGGTGTGGGAGACCCTCGGATCCGTCTCCCTCGGGGATGCTTCAAAATCAAAATTGGGGATCTAAATCACACTGTCACCCGTAAGGTGCTCAAGGCTGTTGCCAACGACAGGCGTAAAATTACGCTCCTTGTCACGAGAAATTTCGTGGGCTTGGGCTGACTATAGGTCAGACAAGTGAATGTTAGCAACAACAGTTGATTGATCCTAAGAAGACCCCTATGAAGAGAATTGCGTCGAGATAGCTAAGGCGATCTGCACCGCCCGTGGTACCATCTAACTGATTTTATGGACATGACAACAAACAAACAAAATCAGAATGAAATAAATAAATCAGAAAAATTTCAGATCATTCCATTTATTTAGAAATAAATAACATAAAAAAAACTACTTTCTAAATAGATACGTATAAGGCAGTTAAAATACACAAAAATAACTATGCCTGAAAAAGCAGTGTTCTTTTGCCACTTAACAATAAAAAAATGCTGCTAAATTTTTCTCACAAAGTCTGCGTTTTCAATCCAAACACTTCCAAATCAGTAATTTTTTTTATAATAACGAACAGCAAGTTATTTTAACTCATGTCGTTCTTTTTCAAAGCAGGGAATCAGATGTATTTTTTTTTTTTTTTCTAATCAATCTAAAACTGAAGTTGGAAAACTGCTTTCTAAATGGACTTAACTCCCCCCCCCCCATTCCTGGAATATTTTAAAGATAGCATTTAAATAACTAAGTTCCAACTGTATAATATGTAAGTAAAACTATAGGTTTTAAGAAATATTAAATATTTGTAGATTTCCCTCTTTATATTGTAAAACAGAATAATGTATACTACAAATAACCTAAATCATAAAAGGTAGAGAATTCATTAACAGATTAGCTTTTAGGATTCCATACACGCTTTATGCGCTTATGGCAATGTGGCATGTTGTGACTTTACAAAATCAATGAACAAACAGTCGTAACTTTCGATTCCTACTATATTTGACGAGCGGTTAAACTCAATTTCAGAGTGAAAATATTTTTATCACATATAATTTCTATAACTGCATTTTTTAAATTGTACTTTTTAAAATTATTTCTTTAGAGATCTGTAATTATTAATAAAAAATTATGTATTTATAAACTGTCGATCGGCACCCTTTTTTGGATGCGCTTCCACAGGGCCTGGTAACATGGCTACAAGACAATTTCCCTTAGAAAGCCCTCAACGAAAGCATCTCCCCCTTAGGCAGATAGCACTTGCGTGCTTTGCCGTGGGGAGGAGAAATCGCTCTAAAACAAGGCACACCAATTTTTTTTTTTTTTTTACAGAATCATATATACACTAACATTAAATTAAATGCGTTGTTTTCATTTTCTTATATGTATTTTTGTTTTCAAAGTAAGTATTGTCAACTAAACATTTTTCGAGCGTATAATTCTGTTTCTTTAAGCATTGTTAAAAAGCTTTTAAAGCGTATAATTAGGGTCTGTAATTTGCTTATTGAAATAAGTAACCTAAGAAATATATTTGTTATATTTAAAACAATAAATTTACCATAATCGAAATGAGCTATGATGAAAGCATGTTTTCTACTGGAAATACCAAACTGGCCACATGTACCATTCTAAAAGAAACTGTTTTGGTTCATTTGATTATGGCAAAGCACTCGAGGACTACTTGCCTGAGAGGAGGACTTTCTAAGGTAAACTGGCTCGTATACACGTTACACATGGAGAAAACCACGAAAACACCCCTGCCCTCAAACTTAAAGATTCTTAATAATTTTAATATTTGGAATTACAAGTTTTAACAACAAAGGCATAAGATGACTGTTGAGATTCGTAAAACCTACGGCCCACCAAAATCGTTTACAAAATTATTTACAAGCTTACCAATTTCATTGTGAAATACTGTCATAACTAAACGAACAGATAAATGCTTAGCCTATTCCAGCGTTCCTAGATGACCGCAAGTCACGAGAAACGGGTTCCTGGAGTTACGACAACTCTTGTTTGAAAAGAATTTTGAAGACAGGACAAAATGGTGTTGTTCAACAAAAACTGCATAAAGGAGGTACCATAGCCCTCCCTGTGTTCGAAGAAAAGCTTTATCCACCCCCTCGAGAGAAAGGGAAATATGAGAAGTGTCGAAACCCTTAGCGGTTAAAGAAGGGTTGGTGATTGGAACGCTACCCACCCGAGATACGGTTTAGGGTAGAAGTACTTCCCTAGTTTTGTTAGCGTGCGGTGCCGAACGGAGCGGAAACGTTTCCGGCCAGAACCTGTTCATGTCGTGTTTCCTCTAACTTTCAGCTCAGTCTATGTGCGGAACTGTTGGACTTAAGATGGACATACAACGCTTGATAAATGAAGTTAAAGCCAGACCAGCAATATGGGACCAGAAGTCCATAGAGTATTACAACCGGGATGTTGTTGCAAGAATGTGGAACGAAATAGCTGATGCTTGTGGAATGCCCTGTAAGTACAACTGAAAATAATTGTTTTAACGTGCTTAACATGCATGCGCATAATTTCGACTACATGAGGATAAGGGCGCCATGTTTAAATTTTGGAGACAAAGGGATCATCTCCATATTAAGTTGCGGTATAAACAATTGCGTAGGAGTATTACTGTGTGTATAATCATAGTTAACCAGAAAACTAAACTATTTCTTTTATTAATTTTAACGAGTATAAAAGGTAGTTATTCGAATACAAAATAATTAACTTTTGCATTTTTGTTATTACAAAACTACGTATTTATTTCTGACTAAAAATTATTTTGAGCATATTTTGTTTTTAGTGTTCAGTCAGGTAAACTTTTAGTGTATTACACCATGATTACAAAATCCATATTAAAATTCTCAGCAGTCCGTAATATTTATCAGGAAAACAACTATTTTTTAGTAGTTATTCAAACACATAATGTTTTCTTTTTGAATTTTTTATCGAAATGGTGCTAATATTATTTTGAGTATATTTCTATTGGAAGATTAATTTCGTTTCCCATTGCCCAGGTAATTGATTTTTTAGTGTACTATATATGATTATTCAGTGTTTTATACATGTATACAAAACGCATGTTGAAATTCTCAGTAACCCATAACACACATATATATATATATTTGGTAAAAGTTATTCAGATATGTAACTTAAAGCTAAGAGTTAAGCTAAGTTAAGAAAAAAAAAAAAAAAATCATTTGAAGGAAAACAATAATTAGGTAATAATAAGTATATAATTATAAAGCATTAATTTCATGTGAAATATTATGCACTCCTTTCAGAAAGTTTCTGGAATAAAAATAAAAGCTTCCATAATGTGCATATTCACTTTAATTTCATGTCAGTTAAATTAAGTCAAATTATCTACTCAAAAATCTGCATAGATTTTATGAACTGCAAATAGTTTAAAATTTTAAACTGTGTAGAATATTAATAAGTAATTTTAATGAGACTATAATTATTATGTGATTTACTCATTCTCTTTTTTTTTTTTTTTTTTCTTTAAAACTTCTTAAATTGGAAATAATATTTTGTGTGATTAAGTGTATGATAAAGAATTAAAGAATCGTTATTTGATAAATATCACTAAAACAATAACAGAATTTTAATATTTGTTGACAAGAAAATTACAAATATGCATGGCTTCGTAAAACAAATTACACAAAGTCATGCAGTGAGATAAAAGGTCTAAATTAGTAAAAGCCATTTAATTTGAAGGGAATGACATACATATGTATAAAACATAATTTAAAAATTAAGAATGCATATTAAATTTTTTGCATATAGAAATTAATGGTTGATCTTTACATTATGGTAACTTGGCGATTTTTTCGCGAAAATTTGGCGACCAACTCTCCTACAGCAACCCTCTATTTTTTTTCCCCGCCGCCATTTTGTCTTCACGAAGTAAAGACATGTTTCTTTTCTTTTTATCTCCTGAACACTTCTTCCAACAATCTACTAGCCGAATTACACTTATGCTAAAATTTTATGAAACAAAACTGCTTAATCATGACAAATATTCACTGCAAAATTAGGAAAAATGCACAATACCATCCTCCTTACGCATTTTTTAAAATAACACATACACATAAAACCATGTACATGCCGACTTATTTTTACTTAAAAAACATCCCAGAATTGCACAAAAATGGCATTGCGCACACTCTTCACTATATCCATGTACACTGCTTTTTTCTCATAAATTCGAAAAATTTCACGAAAATACATGACAATTTTTCTCAATCTTTAAACCCGTAAAAAGAACATATATGAAATTACCTGATCGGCGAAAAAGTATTTACCCTTTACAAATATGAACATTTCCACATATAAAATAAATAAAATATCCAAAACTTTTACCTCTAAATCATCTATTACATTATACACGTCACCAACGAATTCATACATGAAGCATTACAAATATTTATTATCAAATATTTAAATTATTTCCATGCACATTTATTTCAACTAAACATACACCAAATTCCTACAAGTATAAATTCACAAAATAACTATCATTTCATTAAAATATAATTAAATTCAAAAACACCACTTAAAATATACATGAGCACATACATTCAATTAATAAAAATTACCTTACAATCCTAATTACTTTAAACTAAATCATTGCTAATAACAATTTTCCCAATAATACCAAATTCCTTTCCATCTTACATTTCCAACAATGCATAAAAATAATTAAAAATACTAACTTACCTAATCTCCTTCAGAATCTTCATTACGTGGCGGATACACTTTTCTTCATTCTCTTTCAGAATCTTTAAAATCATACTTATCTTTCAAAGCAAGATACCACGTAAAATAAATAACATAATAAAACATGTTTATTTCTCTCTCACACCAACCTTAAAAAACATTTCTTACTATCCTTTTCAATACCACTAAATACCCATTTCGAATTCACTTTACTTACGGCCATGGGATCCAAAAATTCACAAACACTATTTCACACACAACAGAATAAAGCCAAATACAAAATTCCCAGATTTTTCCTCATTAAAGAACAGTAATTCGTCCATTAAAATCACATGACATATCCCATGATCTCTTCCGATTAAAGAACCGTAATTCGTCCATTAATATCACATGACATATCCCATGATCTCTCATTTCCCCCACACAAAATAATGCGTAATCGGAACTCAGTACTGCTCACATTATTACCAAAGTCCCAGGTAGTAACCTTTATCGCCTCCAAAATGTCGCCAAACTACCAGTTACCGTAATGTAAAGATCAACCAAATTAATATATTTTATGTAAATATTTTTCAGTAATATGCATAATTTTTTAAACACAAAGTTATTTCTAATTTTTAAATAAAATAATATAACGCTCATTTTTATGGCATTGCTGAAAGTTACTTAGCTTGTCCCTCCCTGTACAAATAAAGTATAATTTCTATTATACTTAACATGAACCCTTAGCCCTGATATACAAAATTCTTATCTTCAGATAATTCATGTTTGGATGTGTTTAGAAAGCTATTTGCAAATGTTATCCTCAGTCTAATGCTATTACTTGAATATTTTTTCATCAGTATGCATCCAAGCTTCATTTTCCTATCGTTCTTGGTAGCTGGGAGTACATTTTCTTCATATTTCCTTATTTTTTCTTTTCTGAGATGCAATTTTTCTGTGTTAACTTATTATTTCCACATACATTCATATTTTCCATATTATGAAGAATTCTACAATTAATCTCGTAAAGATAATCTTCTTTTCTTCAGTGTTGTAATTCATCGATTGTATGTTTGAGTTATGGATATATTTTGAGAACTCCTTTGTTGGACCATGCAACTTTTTTTCCATTCTTCTAATGTCCAATTCCGATTTTTCTTGGCCCCTTGCAGAAGCAGCTGGCGACGACGTGCTGTCAGTGCAGAGACATGCTTCTGTCTTCAGCTTCGTAGGCTCATACGCAGCAATGTATTCTGCATAATGTATTGAGAAACATTGTGTGGGTTGCCACTGTTGTAACAGGTAGAGAATTCGGCTGTTGTAGCTTTTCGGTTACGACGAACAATATGTAGCAATTTTTGCTCTCCTCTGGAATCAATGCCAATGACACACTGCTGGCTGGTGACTTGTCATTTCACATACACTACTTTTGATATGTGCTCACAACTGCAGGTGAACAGCCTACTAAACATGCTATTTCTGATATTTATGTTCCCAGTCACTGAGCCATAATGATTTGCCATTTATCGAAGTCTGATAAATCATCTTCTTTTCCCATTATGTTGGTAATCATGGTATGTTTGGAAAGACAATTCATAACTGCTTTATATATACTCCAGCATCAGCCAACATGTAACTGTGGTTTTGTTTTTGGGTGAGCCCATTGTTATAGATAGAGGATGGTCATACTGTAATGGCTCTTCAGCATAAGTATCCGTATGCCTTTTATAAGCACAGTCACTGATGTGCTGATGTTGATCATCATACTCTGGCACTGATGATGATCATACTGTAACTCTTGAAAGATATTTTTTAGAGATAGAAATGCATGGGAATTCATATTTCCTGTGCTTAAATATGACCCCAAATTAATTTTTATAAATTTCAGATCATAAAAGTTCTGCGGTACAGCAGAATTATTAAAAAAATTTGCAGAGTAATCAATATGTTAAGAATAATAAAGAGCTTGCAAAGCATGTACATGAAATAAAAAGTAACATGGTTTTATTACTTTAAAAATAAAATCCCGCAAGTTGCACATTTCTGTAGTTACCTCCAGTAATACTAGACTGATCAGTCAAAGTAAATACTAAAGTGCCCACTTGATATATTTCTTAAAGAAATAGAGAAAATTTTAATAATTTATTTTTCAATTTCTTTGTACCTTGATTTTTTTCAAATCATTTAATGAGCAACTCTATGTCTCTAAAAATATCTGAAGATATGTCGATATGTCTGCAGAATTTTCCATAACAGTTTTTACATACTATCATTAGCATTAAATGTTTCTACAGAGGTCAGATTTCTGTTTGGGGAGCAGATAATAATCATTTGGAGCTACATCTGGGTTGTAAAAGGGTAGTCAGACTCTTTAAAACACACATTGCTGAAAGGAGTTGGAGTACCCATCTCGCAGAGACTGTTCGTGTAGAATGTGCAAAACATGTGCTATAGATAGATATAATCTTGCTGCTTTTTTCGACTTTTAATTTCTTATCACTCCGTATTTTCTGATATGAATGCTTTCAATGTTTGGCCTTCTTGAGAATCATCATATATAGATACTTAGTACATATAAAACTCTTTTATCCATTTTCTCACTGTAGAATGGGAGGATGATACAAGTGTTGATTTATTTCTTTGGTATTAAAACCTTTTTAAAAGAATGCATATGATTTCTAGAATGAGTTATTCATTTAGTATTGCCATAGATGTCTGCAAGAGGAATTTGTTGGAAAAAAATGTTTTATAAGTAAGGCTGACAATTTTTGAAATCCACTGCTGTATCTTCAGTTGTTCACATTAAAACAAGTGCACATTTTTATCATTTTCTGCTAATAAATTATCCTGTTTTCAGAATCAAAAGAAGGGACCAGTGTATGCTCACCATGTAGAGTTACTTCTCTGGAAAAATGCATAAGATTGAATAAATAAATAAATAAAAATTGGGTACTTTTCCGTTTCGCCGGTGCAAATATCGCCATGCAGACTTTATTGGCGACAACATACAGTATACACATAAAGAATTTTAACAAATGTTAGGTCTAAGAATTTTTTAATTTGAAGGCATAAACATTTTAATATCATTTAAAATTTTATAATAAGCCAATAAATAAAGACATTAAATTTGTAAAAAGACATTAATTTAAGAATTTACTATGTTTTCATAGTTCAGCATTTTGATTCGCCGGTTTATATCAATTGATCCCAAGTGATCTCTTCTCACGTTAACTAACTATATATAATACTCACGTTAACTAGTATATATAAAGCAGCTACAAAAATCTAATTCAGTAATTATCTACATTAATTTCAAGTTAAATCGTAATTTGGAATACAAGTTTAAATTCAAGATTATTTGAATTCGTACTAATAGCTTACTCTGAAAGTATATAAAACCGCAGTGCTTTACTTCACTAGTGCATTCTCATTAGAATTGATGAACCCTTAACTTTGCCTTTTCTATATTTTCGCCTTCGGGTGAGCAGTGTGATTGCATCCTAATTGACTTGATTACCTCAAATGGTCTTAAGGTATAAAATTAAACTGTCTGGTAAAAAATCTATGTAATTTTATGCCAGTATTAAAAGAAACAACCAATCTGATAAGAAATGGCTGCGATTTGTTTTGGAAATGAGGCGTAAAAGGTTACTAGTGAGGATATTCTATTTGGCATCAGTTTTACCATTATCGTCAACTTTATTGCCTGCGCCGGCAAAACGGAAAAGTATCCAAAATTGCTTTTCTAGATCTAGCAGAGTTCTGTTCTAATTAAACATTCGTGTTTTTCACTGAATTCTGATAGTTTTGAAGATAGGTTCAACCTTTTGACATTTTTGCTAAATGCTTAACCTCAACGATAGAGCTTTTTCCTTTAATGAAGCAAGAGCTTTTCCATGTCTTCAAGGCTTTACATGAGGGTATTTGGAAATCACCTTTCTGACCATAATTGAGAAGTTTTTCACATCTTTAGAAAGTCAGATTTACTGTAAAGTTTTAACATGAGGGTATCCAAAAGTTACCGTTCTGGCTACAAATCTTAAGACACAGTAAAGCATTTGAATATATTAACCCTATCAGTTCACTATGACACTGATAAATGAATGGCTGGAATAAAAGTATAATATTTGGGAAAAGTGCAGAATCACTCACACCTTGGCACGTTTTTAAGAATTGCACATACTCGCTATCCATGTACACATCGTGCAACCTATTTTCACTTAAAAAAACATCCCAGAATTGTACAAAAATGGCATTGTGTACTCCCTTGACTTTATCCATGTACACATTGACCTATTTTCACTCAAAAAGTCAAAGAAAATTGACAAAAATCCTATTCTTCTTACTCCTGTAAAAAGCGCCAAACAAATAAATGGGCGATTCTGCACTTTACCCAAATATTTTATACAAAGCAAAATGATAATAATGAAAAAAAAAAAAAAAAAAAAAAAAGAGCCAAAAAATTCATTTAGGAAATCTGAAATAAAATTTTATACACATTACTATAAAAATTGTTTTCAATTATTTCAAATTTTGAAATATATTTTAATGCCTTACTTATATGTATTTCTTTTGCTAGGTGAAGCTGTCAGATGTAAATGGAAACATTTGAGGGATAATTTTAGGAAAGAATTTAAAAAACGTTTAACAGAGAATGGAAATCCAAGTGATCCAGAAAAACTTGAGCAAGGTTGGGTCTGGTATAAAAGTCTGTGTTTTCTTGGTGAACAACTGAACACAAAGAAACTAACACCAAGGACTCATGGTAGCAGCAGAAATTCAAAGGGTGATGCATTTCCTACTACTACTGATGTGATATGTGGTCAAGATCCAGAAAGTACTTTCTCACCAGATGAAAAACTGTGGATTAGAGATGATTACTCACCTTTACACATAAATACATCAGTAGAAGATGACAACAACAGACTTATACAAACAGTTAGTGCAAGAATGAAAAAAAGGTTTCCTTGTGATTCTCCAGATAGTAATTCAAATAGAAATGTTAAAAGAAAAATTATAAATACTAATAGTGAAAAAGATGACACATATCATTTTTTGATGAGTCTTATGACTCCCATAAAAAGCTTACCGTATGATCGGCAAATGTATATTAGATTTAAAATGCAAGAACTACTTTTTAAGGAAACAGTTCATAATCATAATAATCAGCTGCCATATCCTGTTGAACTCAATGTCAGTAGTGATGCTAATTTACAATCTGTAACTCCATATATGATCACTGATGGATCTAATGACGAAAGCAGCTCAACATAATGTAAAACAAACTCATCATATAAATTGATATTTTCAATACTAACTTGATCATGAAAAACTAAATTTTTGTAACAATAGATAAATTAAAATAATCATCCCATACAGCCTCATTCAAGAACAGTAATTAAATAGTCAAAATAACATAACTTGAATTCAAAACCCAGATAATATAATGAAGTTTATTCATAAAGCGGTACTTCTTCCTATTATTGAATTTTGTCTTCCAGTTTCAGATTAAAATAACAATAAACAGTTTAAAATTACTTTTAATTTATATCTTAAGTTTAATATGACCCTTAGCTTTTTTACAAACATTAATGTATATACTAAATATTTTCTTCCAAAGTTTCATTTTAGTAATGTTCTGGTACCTTGTTATATTTTCAGTTCATAGCTAAGTCACATTTAATAGCTTTCTTTACATTTTTTAATATATATATTTTGAGACATTTATATTCTGTTGTTCGTTCAGTATTTAATTTATGCTTTCAGTTTTAAAGTTAAATTTAGTTAATTATAAATTACTTATTAAAATCAGTTTAATAGTAGTACATTGTATTTGAAAAAGGTAATTTTTGTCTTTATTTTCTTTCAACATGTAACTCCAATGAAAATGTTTTCAAGATAAGGTAGGAAATTTTAAAAAGCAGTTACAGCACTTGTAATGAAAATATTTAGTAAATAAACCTAATTTTTCTTGTACACTGTGAAAGACCAATTACTAAAATATTTATTATGCTTTAAATATGCAAATTTTTCAGATATTTATAATTAATATTTTGATACTAGCAGCAGATTTAATACTTTCATCCAATGTAGAACCTGCAATGTCTAAAATGAATGTCTTTTATTGCAGAGATCAGATCAACGTTTTGGGAGTTTAAAATATGCATTGAAAAGTTTTTTAAGTCAGGAAGTGCATTTTAAAATGTTTCCATGAGTTTATATTATATTACAAGAGTATAGTTTGGAAATAGATAACTGCCTTCATTTATTCATTTTCCCTTTGCTGATAGGTCCTTAATAGTTTTCATTGGTGGTCCTTAACAGTACTTAAATTCTATGTGCATTCTATGTGTGTAATGAGTATTTTATTAATTGGAAATTTTGTCCCACAGGGATCCTTTTAAAATTATATTTATGAAACCTTCGCATCAACAATCTTGAACTTTTTCTCATATTCTTGAAAAACTTTATAATTAATGTACATATCTGAGATCTATACTTAAGGAAATAAACCTAGAAGCCTAAAAGTGCAAATGACTAGTTTCGATGCTAATTCAGTTCAAGTCAAACTACAAGATTTTCGGTTTCGAAACAAACTAGTCCTGTGAAAATTTGAAAATATAATGCAAATTTTTGTTGTTTAACTTCTAAATTAAGTTTAAAATTATTTATAAATGATGTAAATAAGGAATCTAATACACTGCTCACTATGAAAGAATATGACCACTAGATGGTCAAAAAAGTTCAACCATTTTTCAATTAAAAAAAATGTTGACTGGCGAATGACTGAATATGAATGGCTAAAACCACAAAATGATAGTATTGCATCTTGCTTTCATTCTATAGCAGTTAAGTGGCTTGGCTGTGAAGGCAGTTTACATTTTCTTCATGAAGGCATTTCTTTTTTGACAAGAAAGCCTCAAGTTGTTTGAGTCACAGCCTAGCCAAACTTTAGGTACAAAGCATTTGCTGATATCACAGAAAAGAAGTACCGTAATTTCCGGAAGAAACGCCGCGGCGTTTATGCATTTAGAACTTAAATTTTCAGTGGGTACAGCGTTTAGGTGCACTAAAAATAAAATATTTCCTATGATGGTCATTGTACGTAGTTTGGATGGCCTTGTCATTGTGCATACACTGGTGCTGTTCCCACACAAAAGACCACTCAGTAGCTTTTTGTGAACGTTATATTGTTTACATTCTTTCCCTTGAACGGACCTACATGCCTTATTCACCCTAAATGAGATCTCAGAACAATAACATTCTTCTCACTTTCAAATCAACATTTTTATCAGTTTGAATAGTCTCTCTCTTCTGCCATTCGATGAATCTTCCAGGACCCATCCTCTCCCATCTCCTGCCTTTTCTGCAATTTTTTTCAAAGGCGGACACGACTCCACCTGCCTAGCAATAACGAACTTTGACGTATTTCCCCTTCAGCATGAATTGATTTTTCTTGGCATTCTGCCAGATATAGATCCCATCAGTTTGGGTACAAGTACTTGTGGGATAGTTTTTAAGTAAGAAGGGAGCCGAAAATTTTTGAAAATGTCACGTAAATGGCACAGAAGCTATACTGCTGGTTTTAAGCTTAATGTAATTTCACGTGCTGAACAAATTGGAAATCGAGCAGCAGCTCGAGAGTTTGAAGTGGACGAGAGATGTATTCGACATTGGAGAACTGAAAAAGAACTTCTTAAAAATATACCACAACAGAAACGAGCCAAAAGAAGTGTAAGGTGGCTGAATCTAGAGGACGACCTTGCAAACTGCATAAAGGAGCAACGAGAAAAAGGAATGGCAATTTCGACTGTAAAAATTCGCTTACAAGCAAAATTTATAGCAAAACGAATGAACATAAAATGATTTCGAAGGAGGTGTAGCAGATTTATGAAAAGAAAAAATATTTCTGTGCGTACTAGAACAAGTCGGGCAACAATTACCAATGGACTGGCAGGATAAAAAAGGCGTCTTTTCTAAAATATGAGACAGATATTATTGACAAAAAAAAAAAAAAAAAAAAAAAAAAAACCTTTTTTTTCATAATAAGTATGGATGAAACGCCGTTAGCTTTCTACTCTCCTGCAAACAGAACTGTTGATGAAACTGGTGCAAAAACTGTATCTGTGCTTACGACGAGGCATGAAAGAACGTCATTTACATGTGTGTTAGCTTGTGCCACAAACGGTGACAAGCTAATGCCAATGATCATTTTTAAACGAAAGACTTTCCTAATGACTTAATGAGGGAGATTTTCTTAATGACGTAATTATTTGTGCAAAAGAGAACGGCTGGATGTGCGAAACAATCATGCATGAGTGGCTACAAAAAGTTTGACAGTGTCGTATGGGATCTTTTTTCCAACCAAAAGGGTTATTGATAATGGATTCCATGTGTGCTCATTTACTTGAGTCAGTGAAAACCAAATGTCAAAATTTGTCTATGTCTAAGCAATAATTACTGGTGGTTTGACAAAAATCTGACACGGTTCATAAGATTCCGTTAGATTTGTCAGGTAATAAATCCTTCAAAGCTGAAGTCCGAAAGTGGTGGGAGTGTTGGATGAGTGAAGGATTGCATACGTATACCAAAAGTGGTAAAATGCGTAGAGCATCTTATGAAGAAGTTGCAAAGTGGAAGTGCATGGAAATTGGTAAAAACATCATCAATAATAGCAGGGTTCAAAGAAGCTGAAATTATATCCTTAGATAAAGAGACTGTAAACCAAGAGGATGAATGTGACGATCTGGAAGACTTGGATCAGGATTTATTAAATCTTTTAATTCAGATAGTGAAGAATCAGATTTTGATGGCTTCATATGATGTATAGTTTGCTGTAATTCCTTTTGTAAGTAAAATTTAAAATTTCCTTTTGTCATCCAAATTTAATATTTCGTTGTTGCAACATTTTTTATAATATAGTCTGAGTATTACAAATATGGACTTCTTTAGTGAGTCACTTTAGTCATAAGTATATACGTGAAGATAAATAAAATATTTTCCACATTTCTTACCTTTATTTTTGAGTTAAAGTTTCATTTCATGCATTTTTCTTAACTGTTATGTCATATATCAGGACTTAGGTTGGGATTTTGTATCTATACAGGCCACGACGATGTCACGCGCAATTTAATCTATTGCGGCGTTTATGTGTAATTTAAATTTTTTTCCCCCATTTTCCTCGAGTGCGGCGTTTACGCTGATGCGGCCTTTCTTCCGGAAATTACGGTATTTACATAATTCAGTTCATTTATTGCATAATATGATCCATTAAAATATGATATAGAGACATGAGTGAATTAATAACGAGTTTCTATTGTCTTAAATGTAGCATCCGGTTGTCTCAGTATTATGTTTTGGAACTTCTTGGAAGGGTAGGGTGCATCTCGACTCGAAATCATATAACAATGCAGGGTCTAAATGGTCTAAATTTCTAATGATATACAGGATCTCCATAATTAAACTTGAAATTTGCGAGCAGTGTGTAGCAAAAGCTATACAGCGGAATTGCATGAAAATTGGGTAAAGGCGGAATGAAATGATGGAAATTTTATCGAGGGAAAAAAAAATGAGTTTCAAAAACCACTCCTAGATGGCGTATCATAGCATAATACGCCTAACACTAGTGCTGCCGAATGGTTTGTAATCTGTCATCTTCTTGCATCACTACATCATCCAGTGCTTGTGCTGAAACACACTTTTGTCCCCTTCCTGGCTGAATCCCCAAAGTTCCCGTTGCTTCAAATTTCCTAATCATGTTTGTTAGCCCTTGACTAGTGAGTGGGCCTTTTTATAACCACTTCAAAGACCAAAATTTCCACAAAGCTCTAGTAGCAGAGTCTCCGTTTTGGTAAAACTATTTCACCAGAAGAGGACGTTCCTGGAGAGCCAATGTCATCTTCCTTGACTTGGAAATGAGTATGAGTGTGGTTTGCATCTTTACAGGTTTGCTGTGCACATACAGGATTACTATGGTTACAACATTTGCATATGCCATTAGTTAACATTGCACAACACCATGTAGTGGTAGTTTTTGAAACTCGTTGTTTTTCCCCCTCAATAAGATTCCCATCATTTCATTCTGCCTTTACCCAATTTTCATGCAGTTCTGCTGCATAGTTTTTGCTACAGGCTGCTTGCAAATTTCAAGTTGAATTATGGACACCTGTAGATGGTATAGCACGAAAGTTCTAAGCGTTCTTGCAGGGAATCATCATTTTGCTCAAGGACACAGAGTTAGTAGGATGATTAATTATACGAATGTGGAGTTAGCCGATATGCATTTGTCATATGGGGCTGCGGACCGTAGTGGGCTAGCTGCACACTGCTTGTTCACAAAATGATATCCTACGAGGTATACTACCAGCCATAATTTCTTTGCAAAGCTGCTTACGAGGTTAGCAGAAACGGGTTCCATTCAAAGAGCTGCCATGAATCAGCACTGACTCTGGATATTCGAACAAAATGTGCTACATCATATAGAAGGGATTCCAAATTTGAATAAAGTGTAGTGCATGCAGTCAGGGTTTCCCGTTCCAAATATCTGGTTAGGATGCTCAGAGCAAACAAAAGTATCTACACAGCTCGACATTGAAAATGCAACACCAAGAAGGAGTGGTCAGAAAGTGATGAAATTTGGAAAAAAGAGACAGCAAGCAGCAATAAGTGATCTTTATTTCAAAATGATAGAATACAGAGCGAGAACGGTGTCGGCTCAGTAGGATGTAGGACCACCGCGGACAGCGATACACGGAGAAACACATTCTAGGCATAGAGTCAATAAGAGGGTGGATGGTGTCCTGAGGGATGGCTCTCCATTTTTTTTTTTCAACCATTTGCCACAATTCATCTTCTGAACGAGACACGGGCAGAGTCTGCAAACGGTGTCCAATCATATCCCACACATGTTCGATTGGTGACAGGTCAGGAGAGTACAGTGGCCAGGGAAGCATGTGTATACCTTGCAGAGCATGTTGGCAGATGCGAGCACTGTATGGTCGAGCATTATCCTGCTGAAAAATTGCATTAGGCAGCCCCTGAAGGCAGGGGATTGCTACCAGCTGCAGTACATTATCCAAGTATCATTGGGCCGTCATAGTGCCCTGAATACGAACTAGAGGTAACTTGGATAACTTGGCAATAGTGCCCCAAACCATTATGCCACGTTGTCGCTCGGTAGGACTTTCTACAGTTACTGCCGGATTAGATCTGTCTCCATGTCGACGCCACACACGTATGCGGCGACTGTCACTGGATAAACAGAAGCGTGATTCATCTGAGAACACGACGTTTCGCCATTCTGTCATCCCCATCGCTCCAGTCATGCACCATTCTAAACGTTGGCGTCTATGCTGTGGGTTCGATGGCAGTCTTCTTAACGGACACTGTTAGTGCAGGCTACGTTCAACTAATTAACGGGAAATGATTCTGGTTGACACGGGAACATCCAGGGTATCTTGCACATGCTGCAGAATCGCGGTACAAGTGACTTGCCACAGCTTATCGGCATATGTGTCGCTCCACGTGTGCTGACGTCACTCTGGCTGCACCTGCACCCCCTCCTTCTTCCAACCATGTTCGCCATAGCTGATGCACAGTGCTCACATCCATGTGGGTATCAGACGTAAGGACCAACCCGCCCTTCTCAGTCCGATCACCATATCCCTCGTAAAATCGTCTATCTGCTGGAAAAGCCTTCGTTGGCATTCTCTCCTATTATACGTATCCTCCGGGATAAAAACCAACTTTCTTCGATAATTCGTCTGGCAGAAATAACAACACGAATACTGCCCATTCTGCACGTTCATTGAAGAGCTGCGCATTTCACTTAATTCGGTGACGTGAGTCTTTTCTAAAATTTGCATAAATTTCTGACCACTCCTTTTTGGTATTGCATTTTCAACGTCGAGCAGTGTATATCACGTGCAACGTATCCAGACACTTCAACCGAGCAATTATGCATTATGTATTGCTTTTGCACAATGGTATTTTGAAAAGTGTGCTATATATCCTTGTTTTCCTGCTAATGTTTCATTCACCGATGAGGCATCCTTCACGAGGGAAGGAATATTTAACACATAATGCCCATTTCTGGACAGTGGAGAACACTCATGCGACACGATATTATGCATCGCAGCGTTATAAGGTTAATGTCTGGGCCACATTATGGGGGATCACTTCATAGGACTTTGCCTATTCCCCCTTTTGTCTAACTGGTTGTTACTCCTCGATCTTTCTGCAGCAGCCACAACTTTTGGGTGACAAACAGTGCATGTATGACAGATAGTGTGGTTCCAACATGATGGGGTGACCTATCATGTTTTGATTTCTTTTTATGGGGTGCATTTGGTTTACAGACATTCCAATTCACAAGCTGGTTGAGCTGAGGAGCTGGTTGCAAGAATCGTAGTAGCTCCTAGGGAAATTCAAGATTTAGCTAAAAATTCAGAATTTCACACACTGTAGAAGTAAGGCCTGCACTGAAGTTGATAGACAAACTTTAAACATTACATTTCTAATATACTGATTAGTAAATATTATAATGTTCATGGGTTTTCAGAGGCATCTGTTAATTTGAATTCTGGTTTAATAAATGGTTGTAAGCTCTGATAAATTGGGAGTCTCAATTCTCTATAGTGGTAGATTGCATCCTCAAACTGTTTCTTAAGAATTACTGTTTTTGGTGTCGCATTACATTAATGTTTGGCAAAATGTATTATAAAACAAAATATTTCACTTATGTTTTATTTTAAATGTATAAATTACTCCTAGATCAAAAGGCTGCATTTATTTGTGTAGTTTGGTGGTGATGCAGGAATTTTTCTACTCCACAAGTTTTAAGCATGGATAATTGCAACATGCTTGCTAACAGTATTCATATGTAACTTATATTAAACTGATACACCTTTAACGAAATTCCTTAGAAACTGAAAAATATTGGCAATTTATGTTAAAAAAACAAAGTTTTTGCTTATTTTTATAGAGTACCTAGTAAAACCCAAAATCTCACATTTATAAAAATATTTTCAATTAGTTTATAGCAGATAAGGAGGCTCTTCAGTGTTATTAAATGCAATAAACTGAATTCCATTCCTATTAACTTAAACACTGGACCTATCACTTAATGAAAGTCATTAATAAAAATTGTTTTGAAGTTAATATGTAATTATATACTATATATGTTAGCTATATTAGGCCAGAAAATTTTATCTGTATAATTTTTTTTTATTTACAGTTCATTCTTCATCACATGGCTTACCTGACAGACAAACACAATAATCAAAGTACTTCTGTTCACCGATATTTGACATACAAGTTGTAATTAATTGAATTCTGTGTAAACTGAACCACGTTCCTTAGTCTTACTGCTACATAGATTTAGACTACTTGCAATGTCAAGAACAGGAATTTTACTCACATAGAAAGCTTTGGTAGTTCATATATTTTAAAGGATAAATTAATTATTTTCATTTCAGAGGCAACAGTGATTCACTATCATATAAAGGTGGGATATCTTTTTCATACCTATAAAAGCAAAGGTGAGATAGAATGAAATAGATTCCTAATTACATTAAGCTAAAGGAAAGTTTGAAAAAATACGAGTAATAAATGCAGATCTTAAATTATATTGGCAAAATTTAATAAAAAAGGTCATTTATCTCTTAAGAACGAAGTTGCTTGCAATGCCTGAACCTTCAGACGCTGGACAGGTCATCCAAAAGTCCGAGTTCATCTTCTACCTGGTGCTCCCCCCCATCACGTGCACGGCTCAACGATTTTGGGAGTTGTTAAATGACATGCCAATGATTCCTTTGAAGCAATTAGCTCTGTTATTTGACTGCACCTTCCCTCTCCTTTGTTTAGTGCTACAATTTAACTATTGATGCTCACAGTTGCAATCCTATCCTAAAAGAACTGCACAAAGATCCCCAAGCATTTTACTACGCATGGGGAAAGGAAGTCCAATCCAACAAAAATTGGTATATATGGCATTTCAGATGTTTGACATACACAGATTTTGGCCTCTACCGATGCATTAATGTACTCAAAAACACTGCATTACTGCAAAAATTTCTATATTCATTTAATTTTTTCATTGCTTTTTCATATAGTATAGTCTAGAAAAATTATAGAAGCTCAAGAATCTTTCAATCTGCACACGGAAATTTGAGTTTTGATACATATTATTAACAGTATGTACTATGCGTGCAGTCACTCTTAACTGCATAGAATATTGTATTACTTCCATATCACATATTCATAGATTTGCAATAGATGTCACAATTGTTCAAAGAATAAAATAGCATATAATTAAAGTATATACAACACATACTTTTCAAATAATTTTATTATGAAAGACTTTAAAGCAGCAACTATATGGAATTTAACATCAATAGTTTACAACAAAATTGACTTGAGATTCAAATCACCATGAATTCACATTGCATAATAAATACTTTATGCTCATTAATATAAATCACATATTTTTTTTATTAAATACAATGCACAACATTTCAAACAGTTAAGCTTTATAAAATTCTGAAATAAGTATTTCTATAAAAAATATTAAAAAAAATTAAATCCACATGAATTTGTTTCAAAATTGCAGCATTAAACATTTGTAATTTAATATAATTTAACAATCTATTTTATCTGATCAGAGATAGAACTGCAATTTGAAAACTTTACAACATATAAAGTGTTTTGGATCATTTGGGCAAAGTTAAAAAAAAGAAAAAACTTCCGAACTTATCAATTAAGAATAAATAAAATTAATAACAAAACTAGATTTTGCTGTAACCTTTTTAAAATTATGTAAACCAGTTTATTAGCTTTTGTAAATCATCTTTGCTTAATATCTGACTGGCTGATAAATTTATAATATAGGTTAAATATGCTCACTTCTTTTTGGATTCCTAAAACTTTCTTAGGAAAAAACTTTATAAAAACACTGATTGTAGGAAATATAGCACTAAATTAAGGTGCGGCAATAACATGTTACCTTTAAATTCTAAATATTAACTTTATATATACAATTACAATAGTCTTTCTTATATATAAAAAATATCAACACACTTTTCCCTTTCTAAACCAGTTCAAGTACTATTAATATCAAGTTGCACCAGAAAAGATATATCCTTTTTTTCCCCTTCTTTTTTAGTACTGATGAATTTCTTTTAAGATAATATGTTATTCCTGTTAAACAATGTACAGCTGTTATAACCAGTTATTCCTATAAATGGAAACTAAGGATTTTTGAGGTAATTTTTTAAAACACTATATTTTTATAGAAGTATTCAGAAGACTACACAAAATTTCAGTAAAAAATTTTCTCATGGCATGCCAAAATAATCAATATTTTATTATAACATATTTAATACTAAACAGTTTTTTTTTTTTAAATTTTGAAATGCTACAAGATTTATGCAAGCAATAGCTTGTTCTAAATTTGATTTTTTTTAAACAATGAACAAAATTCAGTTTTACAAAATTTAAACATACAAAAACCTAATCAAAAATTACATTACACATGTAAATGGAAAAACTGTATTAAATATCATCCTCTTCATCTTCCTCCCCATGAGGCTGCCACTCAAAATCATCATCTTCACTTGTACTGTACAATCTTTATAAAAAATAAAAATACGAGATTTAAAATCACACTAATAATTTCAACTAGATTGAGTAATATAATTATTATTTGTTATTGTTAACAGCATTTAGTGAAAATTCAGTTATAAAATATTCCCCCTTACTGCTTATAATTCTTTTTTAACTGCAAATTTTGATGATTAAAACAAGTACTTCCTATTAATTTATAAGCATGTAGCTTTCACTGACAAATGTAGAGCCTATTTCCTAATAGGACAAAGCTCATTTGGCTTATCATCATACACAGTTGTACTTTTCGATAACAGTCACGAAGAGCAAAATGTAGTGAATGAAATCAAATACTGTTGGCGTAGATGACATTTCAAATTTAAGTTTTAATTAGTCAATTTTTCATTTCATGTATTTGGAATTTTTACATCTAAAAATTATTTCTCTTCCACATTGAATGTTATTTATTTTTTGCATGGAGTTATCTTTCATCTTTTGAGTGTGAAAATCAATTTTTCAGATAACTTAAAAAGGGAAGTTCTTCGCATCTGCTGCTGTGTCCTTTTTTTACAGATCACTTCCTTATTAAAAAAATTCTTTGTCTACAGTTAAGTACGTAAAGATTTTAAATTCTTTAAATGGGGGGGGGGGGCAGCCAACAAGCCAATGCATTGAACATAGCCACTGAGGTCCAAAGGATTCTACAATAACAAAAGCATATAACAATGCATTCTTTCTAACATGTGTGTGGTCCTCAAATTATTCTCAAGAACATTAACAAAGAAATCAGTGTTGATTTTTTGACCATTTTCTTTAGAATGGATTATAATTATGCTATTAAATTTTGTCGAAAATCAGTCAATATTGTAATTTAGTTTATTTTACTGTAATAATTTTCTCTGAATATGAAAAAATGCATAAATAATTTTTTATATCTAAAATTTAAAAAAAAAACCGTCCTATTTTGTCTAATGAACAAGCACTGACAGTGACAGTTAACATATGTGACAAGCATATTTTTAAAGCCATGTGTAACGTGTATATGAGCCCCTTTCCCTTAGAAAAACCTCCACGAAGGCATCTCTCCTTTTTGACAGATAGCCCTCGAGGCTTTGCCATAATCACACACATACATATTTTTAAAGGGTAATGGCATAAATCACAATTTTATTTTTCATGAAAATGATATAAAAATAAGGAAATAAAAAATGCATTTGTAATGCTTTAACCTATTGATGTGCGCTATATTATTTTTATAATTTTTTAACTAAAAACTCTAGAAATTGAATATTATGATCCTAGAAACAAGTAAAATATGAATTTAAAAAAATCTACTCTTGCCAATTTTTCTGTGGGTGGTGGTTGCACTGTGAAACCCAAACCAGCGTGCGTCTAGGACTTTGAAACTTACTGAGGTAGTAGGGGAAAAAAAACTTAACACTTTTCCGTGCGTTTCCAATAAATGACGAAATTACGAATTTAAAAAAAACGTATGCAAGAACTGCATTATATGTAAATTTTTTTACATTATTTTACAAAGTCAATTGCCAGAAAAAATTAAAAAATAAACATTTATGTAATTTTTCTATAGCACAGTGAAAATATAAGTACTTACATAATAAGGACGTTCGGATAAATGGATAAAAAAACTCAGTAAAGGAAAAAAAACTCACTTTTTTTTAAATTTCGAAGAACACATTTTTTTGTGACACTGTTCAAAGCACGTTTTGTCTTTTTCGTACATGCATAGACCCACATTGCACATTTCGCATATATATCTTGTTCTATGAGGTTTCTTTCCTTTGTACAAAATATACACTGCCTGAATCTTCTAAATTTCACTGGTATATGTCCAGCATCATTTAGTTTTTTTCATCTGGCACATGAAATTTGTGGTTTTTTATGTTAATGGGGGGGGGGGGTGCTTGGTCCTTTTTGGCTTTGGTATGGATCATTCGTTTCCCATTCATATTTATTTTATTTGTATTTCGTCATCCAAAAATATTTTTAATTTAAATAAAACTTTTACGCGATTTCTATTTTTAATTATAGTAAAGTATATTTATATTAAATTTAAACCACACCAAATAATTTAAAAAATCACAATACTAGCTTGGGAAGCAAGTGTTTTGAGGTCAGAGAAAAATCTCTGGAAAAGAAAGATCTTTTCACTCAAAAATTACGGAAAGAAGAGAAGAAAGAAAATTCGAAAATTGGTGGTTTCAAGGACGACCACCGCACGCCAAAGGGTAAATTAACACCTAAAATACACATATTGCACACAAATGATGGCACAAATTTAGTAACAAAAATTTTCACAGTCATCAAGCAAGCAAATCCATTCAATCATAACAAGACCTTAATGAAATAAAATATATTGCCTGAAATTATTAATAAATAAAATCCACCATCTTTCTTGAATACTAAAAGGATAATGGCAATATATTGTCCATAAAATGTACTGCCATGTTTTCATTGAACTTGCATTTTAAATCTCTAAGCTGTAGGCAGGATTTAGGTCTCAAAATAGTTGAAGACTAACAAGAAATTGAATGAACAGTCAGCTATAAAAGAAAAATATTTACCTAGTTCAATGTGCAACAGATTCAATAAGTACATATTTAACTGCAAATGAAAGTAACAATTTTTCAATGCAGAAAATGTTATAATTTTTATGAATAATAATTGTTCAAATGAAACAGACTCACAATTTGCTGCCTGAATATTTGATTTAGTGACTGGGAGCTGGCAGCAATTTATATACGTAGCGTATTCGGAAACTAAGTACCGTTTCATTCGAGCGCCGTCGTAGCGCTGTGGTAGGCGTCCCGCGCATGTGCACTAGTCTTTCTTGTTCACTGACTTTCAATTGTCGCCATTTTGGTTGCTCTATGTTGTGTTTTCAGTTTCCTGTGCACATTCAAAATGTTTAAGACAATTAGTTCTCCCGCTGACTGTGAGATTCGTGTCGTGATTAAATTTTTCAACGCGAGGAATGTTAAACCGGCCGAAATTTATCGTCAAGTGACAGAAGTTTACGGTTAATACGCGATAAGTGATGGAATGGTGAGAAAGTGGGTAAGAGTGTTTAATGCAGGTCGAACAAATGTCCACGCCGAGGCTCGGAGTGGTCAGCCTTCTGTTGTCATCGATAATTTGGTAAGGAAAGTTGATGAAGCAATTCATGAGAACAGACGTTTCACAATGACAACTCTTTCAGAGGCATTTCCACAAATTTCACGTACTGTTTTGTTCGAAATTCTGTCTGACGTCTGACCGCTTGAATTATCGCAAACTGTGTTCCCGATGGGTTCCAAAAATGCTCACTGATGTTCACAAAACAAAGCGACTTGGTAGTGCCCTGACATTTCTCACGCGGTACAGTGATGAGGGAGAAAACTTTTTAAACCAAATTGTGACAGGTGATGAAACTTGGGTGTGTCATTTCACACCAGAATCGAAAAAACAATCGATGGAGTGGAGACACACTCATTCTCCGAAAAAACAAAGAGTTCAAAGTGACAATGTCATCACAAAAAATCATGTGCACTGTCTTCTGGGATAGGAAAGGCGTTTTGCTTACTGAATTTCTTCCCAGAGGTGAAACCATTAATGCGACACGATACTGTGAGACTTTAACAAACCTAAGGCGTGCCATTCAAAACAAACGAAGAGGAATGCTCAGTAAAGGAATTGTGTTGCTCCATGACAATGCTCGGCCCCATACTGCTGGTGTCACTCAATCGTTAATTCGACAGTTTCATTGGAAGCAGTTCGATCACCCGCCATACAGCGCCGTCCGACTATCACTTGTTCCTGCACATGAAGCGCAAGCTTGGTGGCAAGCGCTTTGGATCTGACGATGAGACGAAAAATGCTGTGGAGTCGTGGTTATCGAAACTGGCGGGAAGTTTCTTTGACGATGGTATACAAAACTGGTCACCCGCTATGACAAGTGTTTGATCATTGGCGGAAACTATGTTCAAAAATAGTTTAAGACATGTATTTTCATGTAAAAATAAAATTGGATTCGAAAAAGTTGTTTTACTATTTTTTTTTCAAAACGGTACTTAGTTTCCGAATACGCCTCGTATCAAATCCATGTCTATCACCTGGCACTGACTGGGATAGAGACACTCTAACCCTACAGCAAAACTTGTCACCAGTTAATACACATATGAAATTTTTAGAACTTTGAAAATGGGCACTTAAAGCATATTTTTTAAATTAACCAATAGTTAATTTTTTATTAACTGTTAAATATAATTAATTCCACTTAAAATCCACAAAAAAATGAAAATTACAAATACTTCGGTAAAAGTATATTTACGGGTACCCCTTTTGGCGAAAATTGGCAGTACATGAATACTGAGTTTGTGCAATTCTTTGACTTGTTATTTTGGCTTTGTGTAACGGCGATTTTGCCGCTACACAAAAATGATAAAATATACTACTAAAAATTGCCGCTACACAAAGACAAAATAACAAGTTAAAGAATTGCACAAACTCGGTATCCACGTACACATTGACCTATTTTCACTTAAAAAAATCAGAGAATTGCACTAATTGGCATTGCGCACTCCCTTGACTTTGTCCATGTGCACATCAATATATTTTCACTTAAAAAGTCAAAGGAGCACCCAATTCTAGGTAAAAGTACATTTACAGAACATTCAACTACTCAGGGTACCATAAATGAAAAGCAACTTGGCGATAAATGAAACAACTTCGCGATAATACAATGGGTACCCTTCAGTTTCCTCTAACCAACACTTCTTGTAAATTATATGTATATTTAATTATAAATTTTCATTTTATTACTCAAACAGAAGGATTATTAAATATACTTATATATTACTTAAGCAAAATTTTTAAATTACAAATAATCATAGAAGATATCAAAATCTATAAACTACATTTCTTCTATTATAACTATTGAGGTTTCTGGATTGATTCTGATTTCTACCAAGGTGAGGGGATGCAACATTAAATTCTACACACAGACAAGAAATATACGTATCAACAGAGATACTCATAATTCATTTAAAATTACAAATGTAAAAATATACAAGCTTATGTTCTGAATTAGATATTTTCCTATAACACATTGTGCTTCATGTTTACTTTTTCAGTGAGCTTGGGTTCAAGAGAATTTGTGCCTAAATTTGGTTAAAATGCATTACGAATTATTATTACAGTCAAAAGTCGTTAATTCGGACCTCAAAGCTAAACTCTTTCTGCGCATGCGGCGCGTTGACGGACGGTATAAGCTAAAATTATCTAATTATCTATTTCAGTTAATGTTGATGATTGCGTTGTTCTTTAATCTTCGAATTGGAACCGGTTTATTATTTTTTGCAAACTGTAAGAGCAATTTTATAAAAGTAAGCTTGAACTTTCGATTATGTCAAATAAAATTTCCGATGCTGGAGCTCACAAAGGATCTAGAAAACGAAAGTATGTTTCGATGTCCATCAAACAAAAAGTGGAATTGCTACAAAAAATGGATAAAGACATATCCTTTGTTTATCTAACTGTTCCGAAATCTGTTTATCAATTTCACGCTGCTCTGTGCGGGGGGGGGGGGACGTCGTGGCGCACAATGAATTGGAAGTTGATCTGTCAGCACTATCGTTATCTTCAGGGCAGATGTTTTTATTTTATTCGGCTTATAATTCCTTACTAAATATAGTATTTTATCTCGATGTACTCAGTCTTTGATATGATTTAAATCAAATTCCTTGTCATTATAAATATCACGAATACAAATCAAATAGTTTTCTGGTTGCAATTTTCTAATTTCGGCTACGCATAACGCAGTGCTCCGCAACCGGTGTGCCGCGGCACACTGGTGTGTCATGAGTAGGATACAGGTGTGCCGCAATCAAATACATGTATTTGCAATTTTTTATCATGTATTTAATACACAATGACAATTTTTTTTCCTTAATAATGTCTATTTTAAATGTTTTTATATATTTCACTGTTGTGTGGTTGTGTGTGTGATTGTAAGTGTGTCAGCATTTGAATTTTTTCGGCACTTCCTTGATAACTCGGAACTCTTTGGTGTGCCACAAAATTCCAGAAAGATTTTTTGTGCGTCGCAGGTGAGAAAAGGTTGTGGAGCACTGGCGTAATGTATGCTTTACGCATGCGCACGTTGAAAGAAATGTTTAATAAAGTAAACAAATAAATATTAAACTTTTTTTTTGTAAATTTTGATACCCTTTAGATCATAACTGCTCATTATTTTATTTTTAATTTTATAATTTCTGCATGCCATCTTACCAGATTTAAACTGATGATCTATAATTTGGAAAAATCGATAATCCGGAATCGCCGAAGTCCCGACGAGTCCGGATTAAAGACTTTTGACTGTATTATTTTTTAAATAATAGAAAAAAACTCTTTGTGGAGGCTACATTTGAATAAAGTACTTTTTTGTATTAAAAATCGAAATCCATTTTATGTCTCTTATGAAGAAAATACTTTTTTCAATTCTATAGCACTAATTTCTTATGCCTTTCAGAAAATATAATTTACAACCACCTTTTAGCTATGTGTAACTGAAAAAATTCTTTGTTGCTAATACAAAATACATGATGTATAGATATTTTAGATGCATTAATGCATGGAATACAAGTCTTTAAAATTTCTAGTTTAACAACTTTAGCATCTTATTCTGAGATGGCATTACTGATAAACTATATATTGTTACAAATTTTATATACATGTAAATAATTTTAGTGAAATTATATGTAAAATTGTAGTATCTCTTGTACAATGTAACATAGCCGCCCAGATGGTATATTGGTTAGGGAAGCTGACTATGATACAGAAGGGCCCTGTTTTGAATCCCACAGAAGGCATGGTTGTATGTCCTCTTAATAGGAGGTAATGGTAGCCACCTATTAGATGCCTCCACAATAAAGTGACTACCACTTCCGGTCTTAGGAGTAGCCAATGTCGAAAAAAGACAAAATAGTGGCCATTGTTCAGAAAATAATAATAATTAATAATACAACATGAGAGCTCTTAAGAGAGTGGAACTTTGCTGGAAAAATAAGGTCACAGAAGCAAGTCCATTTCAGGGAAATGGGTTATCTCTCCAGTGAAAAGCTGGTGACAGCTTTAGTGACTAATTTTTGCTGCCATATTTGGTGAGAACTCGTCAGGGCAACAAACCTGGTGACCATTGTGTTTGGCCCTATATATACCTAGCAATTTCAAGAAATCAAAGTTACTGGAAATTTCTCAGCATTCGGAGGAAAACTATGTAAGAGTGGAAAGAGTTTTAGTTCTCCATCTTTAGTTCAGAGGATTGAGAGATTTCCATGTGAGCTTCACTTTACATTGTGTTGTGTTTAATGTTCTTAGCAGTTTGAAGTGATAACTACTGATTGTGCTCTGTCATACTCAGAAGAGGTGTACGAGTAATTTTGTGAAAAGTTTTTCTAATAAGACAATAAATTTTAACAAGCTATTGGCTCTGTGTGCATTCAATCCATTATGATTGTAACAATATATAATGTCATGACAATATATACTGTCAATACTACATACATACCAAAACTATATATATGCATAACCAAACACAGAACCTGAGAGGGCAAACAAGCCCTTCACTGCAGGGCACTTGACTGAATCAAAATCTGCTGAACTGTGACTGATGACTCTTCAAAATCAGCAAGACTATCAAAGTTATCATCCAATACATGACATAATGAGTATATCACCAATCACTGGAGGAATGAATATTGGTTTCGTTTTGCATACCATTTCCCTCACCTCACCCTTTGAATAAAATCTGTAGTACTTTTCAGTATTTTTCATAGCTCATAATTTTTAAGGAATTTTTGTAGAAATTATGTAGAATCCGTAGTATTGGTGTCTGTAAATAATGGAAGCTGTGTGCTCAGTGAGTACCGAAGTACCTAATAAAATAATAATCCTCATATATGGGAATCGCACTGAAATATCACACTCTTGCCACAAGCATTGTTATCCCAAATCATAACAAGAGATGAAATCTGGTTTCATCAATTTTACCCAACAAGCAAGACAGTAATATCTGTTCTCACCTTGCAAAATATAAGGCATACTTAGTAAATCAAAAATCATGCTGACGATCTTCAATGAAACCTCTACAGCTGGTATTATTGGAATACAAGAGTATAATTAATGCTGCTGCAAAACACTGCACAAATCTAAAAAAAACTTCCAATATCAGCAAAAGTCAACAAAAAACTCGACCTGTATGGCAAAACTCACAAAACACTATCTTTTTGCCCGTATCTGTACAGGGTGTATCAGTACAAACACGACAAACTTTTGAAGTACAGCAACAATGCTGGGAAGTCTTTGGCTGGCGTATGCGATAGATGCTGCAACCAAAGTATCAGACGACGGTGCATGCGCACACACTTTGTTGCTGGTGTGCTCGTTGTGAAACTTCATTTCAGCTGCCGACAGTGATAGTAGGACTGACTGCTACAAAAAGGCTGATATTCATATGGCATACATGGTTGCTGATTGTAACAGACAAGCAGCACAGCGGCTGTATGTTCCAATGTTACCCGAGGAGGCAAACTTCCAGTCGAACCTTGTTTGCATGCACAAAATCTGAGACCTGGATTATTGGGACTACAGAGATTCTGGAAATTTTCAGATACCAGATCATCAAGTTTAAGACATGTACTCAGGGAAATATTAAGGCTTTGCTTATTATTATTACTCAGACAGAAGAATACTAACCTTCCAACAAGGCTAGTGCCAGAGCAGCTGTGACTGCATCGGGCAGCGACAATTTTAGAATTTAGAGATGTACTTAGCAGCAAAAATTAGGCATAGTTTAAATTTTTTGTTAAAAATATAAATATAGGAGAGGCACTGAGTTGCAGAATTTAGAAGGAACAAAAATTTTTAGAGTTCAGGGAGAAGTGAAGTGGGACAACAGAATTTAGGACTTGCACAGACTGCACACTGCAGCAAAATGTGTTCACATTGTCTCAGATGGAGTTACACCATTTTGTGGTATGAACCCATCAACACATAAAATAATTGATTAAAACTTTTCTTAGCATATATTCTTAATAATATGTGATTATATATTACGTGAAATAAAATATAATTTCTTTTATTAGATACTTGACATGTTTTACTGTACTGAAAAAATATACTTCCTAAATGATTTTTCTTTGTTCTAAGAAATAGATATTGCTTCCGTTCTTATGATCATCAAAAAAGAATTTCATTAAAAAAATGTTTTTTTAAATAAAATTTTGAAATGTTTAAACATTTGAAAATAAACATTACGTTAGGTGGAAGTTATAAAACAAGTCTGAGATGTATTTGTAAAAACAATAGTCGCATTATTTTAATGTCATTCTGCTAATGCATCTGAAATGTATTAAAAGAATGTAGTTAAAGATTTTAAAAAGCAAAAAACTTTTTAAGAAAACAATAAAATTTTACTTTAGTTTCCTGATGGTAGCTTGCTCTTTTGTCATCAACAGTTACACTGATGTTAATTACTGATGACAAGAGAATAACATTTATATAACTATGAAAATCATATTTTCTTAATGAAGATAACATCAAGGAAAATATTAATATAGGATAAAATTATGTTTTGAAAATAAATATAGCAGACTTAAACAATTAGTATGGTTGGCAAAAGAAAGCCAATTATTAAAATTTATTATTAATAAAAACATGTTTACTTTTCTTATGGCAATTAAAGAAGCAGGAAAATTTTTGTTTTTATTGGTTAAAATAGCTTGTCAAATGAACTCTTACTCAAAACACTTGATGAGTAACCACATGTATTTCAATAAAATAATTTAAAAACTTTAATTAATTAGAAAACTATGATTGCAGAATAAATTATATGTGGCAGACAAAGATAATTATACATTTTCATAATTCATTATAATAATTACAGAACTATCAAAATTACCTTTCAAGCAAATCCTTGGTAGCAGGACCATCATCAGATTCAGATGATGCAGAATCTAGAGTATATGATTCATCAGAGCTGGTATCTCCTTTTCGATAATGAATATTACTGCTATCATCAGAGTCAGAAGTAGTATCATTACCAGCATGACTTGAATATTCAGGTAACCATTCAGGATCAGATTCAAGATTATATTGTTCCAACAGAGCTATAGTTCTTTCAAAAGCTGTATGTCTGTTTGAAGCAGCAGAAGCATTATTCGAAGATAATGTTTTTAGATAATCCCCTTCAGACTTTTGATGATTTCTAGACCTGAAATTAAAGCGTGATTTAGCAGATTCTGCACTAGATGTAGCACTTTGATCCAAAGACGAAGAAAGTCTAAAACTAGGGCCAGCTATCATTGTAGATTCATTTAATTGCCCTGAAGAGACAGAATTGCTCTCAGAATTCGGTGTCACTGGAGTTATAGAACACTCATCAGAAAAGCGCCAACATCGTTTCGGTGAACGCATAGAAGGGTTAGTTTCAGAGACATCCTCTTCACCATCTGATGAATCAAGAGGTGCAGATGCATGCCTGCGCTTGGCTGGTCTTCTTTGTTGAGATTCTTCATTCAAATTTCCTGCATAATTATCAGGTTCAAGAACATCTACTTCAATCACGGAACTTGGAGGCAAAGATGATGTTCGAGGATATTCTATTTCAATTTCTCCGCTTGCCACTATATTGCTATTTGTAGCTTGATCTTCAGCAGTAGTGTCATTAATAATAACAGATACTTCTTCTTCAGACCAGCCAACATTACCATCTTCACCACTATATTCTGCTCCAGAAAAAAAATTATCTGAGTCAGCAGAGCTCCCAGATGATACTGACCGAATATCAGCTAAACTGATCATGATATCAGCAGCTGAAAGACTTCCAACTGATGATACATCTGAACTGCCTTGTTCAGCACCTTTGAGAGTTTCAATTTCATGTTGCAAGTCTTTTATCTTTTTGTTTCGTTTCCTGATGGTAGCTTGCTTTTCTAAAATAAAAAGAGAAAATGCATTAAACTTATATCTAGTTAATTACATTACAGTCGATTAAGAACTATAACTTTTGTCCTGATTCGGCTTCATACTCAATTCAAGCAACCATAAATGTCATTACCATTTATGGGTGCTTGATTTTATGAATACTTTATGCATTCTGTACAAGTTCGTTAAACTGAGAATCGACTGTATGTACTGTTTTGAAATTAGAATTGAATAAATTTTCTCCTCGTTAAACACAGTCTCATATTTTTAGATTAAAATCACATGACAGTTTCTAACCATAATTTACCATAATTTACAACATGAAATCACTTCTTACTTTTCTTTGTCAACAGAATAGCTATCATACTGATCTACTTATAGGAAGCTTGCATAAATTACAAATTTCAAAACACATAATCACAGGAAATTAAATTTGACAAACATTAAAAAATTTAATCTTTTTAATTGCAATAATTACAAATGAAGCTAAATGTTCATCATGATCATAATCACTTTCATGCAATTGTTTTTATTGAAGCTGACTTTAATAGAAATTTTCAAGAAGCTGCATCTAAATTACTTTTTATCTTGAATGTTTAGAAAAACAACCACAATCAGACTTGTAATCATCAATAATTGGGAATCCCCCTTTTTTTTGGCCTAGCACTTTCCTGCTCCTCAATGGACAATTTCAGATCTCATGTACTTTACATGAAGCATATAATCTACACTGCTGGCCACTCAAATTGCAACACCAAGAAAGAAAAGAGATATCACAGCAAAATTTATTTAGTAGATAACATGTTGACCAAGTATCAAATGATTAAATTTATAGACTTCTGTGTAGTGTGGTTCCTTCCAGAATCAGTAGCTAGAGTAGCCGCCATTGTTGGAGATCACCGCTGTCACACGCCTCGGCATTGATTCAAAGAGACTTTGGATGTGTTCTCAGAGTACAGCAGACCAAGGAGCTTCCACACATTGCCAAAGTTGATCTGGTGTGGCAGCTTGGGATGTAATCTGGGTCAATCCTTCAGCAACCATGGACCATGTTTTCTATTGGCGAAAGATCCGGAAAGCGAGCTGGCCAGGGAAGCAATTCAATCTGGCGATTAACGAAGAACCCTTGGAACAATGCGTGCCACGTGTAGTCGCGGATTATCCTGTTGAAATATGGCTGTGGGCCAGACCTGACGGTAAGGAAGGACAACTGGCTCCGACACCTTGGAGATATAGCGCTGGCTGTTTAAAAGTACCGGCAATGCGTACTAGAGGAGTGTGAGAGTGATATCCAATATTGCCCCATACCATAATACCCGGTGCAGGACCATTGTCGCGGTGCATAATGCAGCTGTTCAGCATCCTCTCTCCACTGTGTCTCCAGACTCAAATCCGACCTTCGTGGTGTGCAGACAGAAGCATGACTCATCAGTAAAGACATTTTCATTCCAATCTGTTGTCCACATCCTTCTTTCATCGCACCATTGGTGGCGGAGATGTCTGTGGTTCTGCATCAAGGGTAGACGAAGCAATAGACGTCTTGCGAACAGACCACTCTGCTGTAAACTGCATCGAATGGTACGCACAGACACTGGATGATGCATTACAGACTGAATGTGCTGTTGCTATGGTTCGTGATGTGACTGAGCGATCCATCACTGCCATGCGCACAATGTTCATGACATCACGTGAAGTGGTGCACTGAGGTGGATGCAATCAAACACATCGGTTCGTCGTACCCTCCTGCATCCAACTGTCACATATCCGCATTACAATTGTTTGGTTTCATCCAACACAACTACAGATTTCCTTGACAGATAATCCACACTCTCGGTAGGCCACTATCCTTTCTCTGTCGAACTCAGATACTTGATAAAACGATGATCGCTGTTTCCTACGATGCATAATTGATCGTTTTTTTTAAAAAAACCACAAGAAAAACACAATTGCTGAACTCGAAATCGTCGAAAACTTCAAGCCTCAAATAGCACTTTGAAGAGCACCACGGGGGCGCTTGATGTGCGTCTGCGCTGAAAATTCTAACCATTTGCATATCTCACCTCCATTAATGCATGTAGTAAATTTCATGTTATTTGTATGCTTCCTTCAGGGTGTTGCATTTACGGTGGCCAGCAGTGTAGATACAATATTGAATCACTTTTTAAACTGCTTCTGATCAAATTTCTGCAAGATTATCATCAACCATTTGTGTCAATCATATTTCAAAAACACCTGCAAAAGAACAACCAACCTTTTACCTAGTGCAACAGGTTTTAATAATCAATCATTTTTTTTAGATGTTAACCTGTCACTTCTACCACTCCTTAGACATCTATACCATATTCATGATCTTCATATATTTGGAAGTAATATGAACGATTTCTCATGAATGATTTTAGGCAACATAACAGTCTGTTCTATTTTGTGCTGCTAAATGCCTGTGGTTTCTCAACATTTAGACAGTCCTTAACCAAAGTATAGTTTGTCTAAGATGATTTCTTAAATAATTTTGAATAGATATCATGCTTCATAAAAAAAAAAAAAAAAAAAAAAAAAAAAAAGAAAGAAAGTTGAACATTTAGATAATAAGCTATAAGAAACAAAAGGCTGACTACACAAACTTTTTTTTCTTATTAGTTCCATTTAATGCTCATTATCTGTTACAAAAACTTTTATTTTACACTGATATTCTATTTTTATTTCTAATATTAGTGTCTTAACTATTTGTGCATAATATATTACATCAATAAGAAAAACCCTGTGCTTATGGAATTAATAACATTCTGTATCAGTGTGAATAGATATAGAAACAAACGAGTCATTATGGCTGTCACTCACACTTCTTTGAATCACTGTAACTACTTAACCACTAACTTTATATATATATAATTTGATTTCAATTTCAGTAACTAATGTCAGTAATGTCAATAATGTTCTTAAAATAATTTAATAAAATAGTATTAATTTAAAGCAAAGTATTAAGCAATGAGAGAAATCCACAAAAAGTACAATACAGTATGCATTTAAGACCTTTAATCAGTTATTAAACATGTACTAACATATAACACAATATTTTAATATGGTTACAGGAAAATCTCTCCTTGTCAACTGTACATAGGCAACAAACATTTTTATGAATACATACACAGTATATACACTATTAAATATATGCACAAAATAATCATTACTTTTGACTGGTATACTAGATCATCCCATAAATACTACTTATTTTTCAAAATTAAGATAAAGTTCTTTTTTAATCTAAAATATACTCTCCTTCATCCTCTGCTAGTTCCTCAACAGTTACGATGGGATTTTATTCCACCACATTTTGCAGGACGTCCTCGCCGAGTTCTACAGACCTTCCGTGATGAGGATTGCCTTCTAGGCAGTACTTTTGGCAAAGGAATATCTGGAACCATTTCTGGAACCAACCAAATATAGGGCTTACCCTAATTGTTCAATCTTCATACACTGCATTAACATTACTATTTAAAATTATTTAACTGAACTCACAAAGCAAAATATACTGAATAAGCTCCTATTATAAGCTTTGAAAAAATAACTTAAAAAATTGCACCAAGAATAAGAACAAGGTAAAATTACTGTCTGCTTTTATAGCAAGTTGATGCAGGTAGTTTATCCTGTTACCTCCCAATATTTAGTTCATGCAGTTGAAAAAATAGCATTATTTATGAGATGACCCTATATATAAAAACATTCTAAAACAAACTCCACACATTTTCTCTTGTTTCTATTTTTTATGATTTTCTTCCTCTTCTATTTTCAATAAGTTTTTCTTCTTACTTTCCTTCCAAATAAATAACCAGAGCTAACTTTTGCAAAGATGAAATAGCTAGATAGATATTCTGAAGTAGCTCCTGCATACACTTCAGAGCTTGTCCATGCATATAAAATATTTTTATGATGACCTAAATATAATGTATTATATAGCTATATGCCTGCCAACTACTTTGGACAGGGATAGAAAAAGCAGAGGAACACTGTTTTTGTCTTCAACCTCTTCTATTTCCTTTTCTTGTGTGATAAGACCTTATTTTTTCGATATTTAGATTTGTATTATTATCATTGGTAAGTTACCTTTAAATGCATAATTATTATCACTAACTTACTTATATCATTTTCATAGTTTACACGCGACGATTATATAAGATTGTATAACATCTACTATTTTACCCTTGTATGCTCAATTTTTTTCCTTCTAATCCACATTTAAAGAGGCATACATATGCAATTATATTTCATCGAACCCATACTGATTTTTGGATAAAACATGACTTAAAGTTTAACTTAAAAATATTTTCAGAATCTCCATAAAATTAAATAGACTTACCTTATATTGCAGATAAAGTTTGATCATTATGGCAAAAACTAACAAGACATTTTATACAGAGAAAACATATACATGCAGTCTATATGAAACAAAACACATTTTTGCAACTACTTTTAAATTACTTTTCTAACAAAATGTTTACGCTATTTCAGGATTTTTTTCTTAATAAGGTACCACTCAGCACCAAAAAATAAACGGGAAATCTTACTAGATGATAACAACCACAATGATACCTAAAGCTCCATGAAAAAAAATGAACTTGTAATAATAGTAATGTATTATATATATATATATAAGGACAAACAACAGGTTTATATTACAGAACTTCCCATTTTCCTTGGGAACAAACAGCAGTTTCAGCCGCAAGGGATGGTGAAAGTGATCAAGGAAGACTCGTTAAGGACATTCCCCTTAGCAGTATATCCATTACTGATTTGGTAAGAGAAACGAAAACTATGCTTTGGTCCAAGAAATGCAGAGCAAATAAGATGCATCACGCGTTAAGAAAGCTGTTACCTTTGCCTTTCTGTTATAATACTGAAATGTTACTTTTAATTAACAAATAAAGCCCATGTTGAGTTTTTAAATAAATTTTAAAAAGACAATCAGTGTTAGTTTTTCCTACTCAGAAGCTCCACAACATTACAATATATACACTGAAGTGACAAAAGTCATGGGATAGCAATATGCAAATATACTGTTGGCAGTAGTATCGCGTAGAAAATGTATAAATGCGAAGTGCTTTCGCAGGGCTTTCATTTGTGTTCAAGTTATTCATGTGAAGAGGCTTTGACGTGATTATGGTAACACTACGAGAATTAACAGACTTTGAACGTGGAATGGTAGTTGGAGCTAGATGCATGAGTCATTCCATTTTGGATATCGTTAGGGAATTCAACATTCCGAGATCCACAGTGTCAAGAGTGCGCCGAGAGTATCTAATTTCAGGCATAACATCCCACCATGGACAGCGCAGTGGCCGACCACCTGCACTTAACGACCGAGACCAGCGACGTCTGCGTAGAGTTGTCAATGTTCACAGACAAGCAACACTGCGTCAAATAACTGCAGAAATCAATGTGGGACGTACGAGGGACGTGTCCGATAGGACAGTGAGGCGAAATTTGTCTTCCTTGGGCTATGCCAGCAGAAGACCGACTTGAGTGCCTTTACTGACAGCATGACATCGCCTGCAGCAACTCTCGTGGGCTCGTGAGCATATCGGTTGGTCCCTAAACGAATGGAAAACCGTGGCTTTGTCAGATGGGTCACAATTTCAGTTGGTAAGAGCTGATGGTAGGGTTCAAGTGTGGCGCAAACCCCACGAAGCCATGGACCAGTTGTCACAGGCACTGTCAAGCTGGTGGTTCCTAATGGTGGGCTTTTACTGCTGCTCGGTCCTCTGGGCAATGAACGATCATTGATGGAATGTCCTTCGCAGGATACTTAAGCCATTCTAAATTTTAAGACAATGCGCCTGTCACCGCCATTGTGGATGGTTAGACAGGGGTGTTTGTGGGACCCCAAAAAATCCCCTGAAACTTTTACGGACTTACTTATTACCGACATTTTGGAGTTTCGAGAAGGGGGGGAGAGAAATGAAAAATTACAATTATGAAGTATTGAATGACCTAATTATAAAAGTTCAATGAATTACTTTTTTTTGCAAAATTAATAACCATAAATTTTCAAACATATAAACTACTACATTTTATGTAAATATTTTAAATTACCTGAATTAATTCTTTAAAAAAAATTATCTAATTTCTGCTGCTTTTTTTTTTATTTTCTGATGTTTGTGGGCTTGTCTTTCTTTTGTGGT